TAATTTTGAAAAATACTCGATAAAATTTTGAAATTTTATTTTAATTTAATACTTCAAATATTTTATCATTATAATACAATTTACACATTATTATAATCAAATTAAGTGTATAATAAGTACAATCCATCCAAACCATCATGGTGATAAGTTGAACTCCCTTTCCTTAATAAGCATTAAGCACAAATTAACTAACGTTAATTAAATGTTAATCCAAGTTTTGACCTTCTTTAAGTGGAAAAAGTTAGTAAATGTGCTTAAGAGAGGAAAATATCTTCAACATTAATTTTATTTTGAAAGAATCTTAAGAAATATACAGAAATCAAACCCATCATTTAAAACCTGATTTTATAGATATACTTGAAAATTTTAGCATATTTTTACTTAATTTTAATATGAGATTATTGTAGTTATGATCAAAAATAACATTTTATTTTGTATGAGAACAAAATTTTATACCGTGCAATTTTTAAATTTGATAAATAACATCGACCATAATGGTAGGAACTATATAATTACGCCAGTAATTAAATAATATCGTTATTTTTTTTATAAAATATTTTATGGTAAGTAAATAATTATTTTAAAATAAAATTAAAAAAATATTTAAGAATGACGGCTAACCTAGTTATAAATATGAAAGGAATTAAGTAGTTTTATACAATTAAACATAAAAAATTATTTTAAAATATTTATTTTGATATGATATGAATAAACGAAAATACTATAAAATGATCACGTGTTAATATTACAATATTGAGTATATAAAAAATATTAACATAAAATGATGGGTTTTTATCATTGCGACAAATGAGTGATTCATTCCTAAAAAAGCTCATATTTTAAAAGAATTGTAAGTAAATGACACTAAAAGAAAAAGATTATATATTTTTTATGCTATAAATTATGTGTTTTTAATAAAAACACATATATTCATCAACAAATAATACGTATACATTAATCATAATACAATAAGAATAACATTCATACGAAATACAAAGGATACAACTAAACTCGATACGACAATATTTAATCAAGGAAGTAACGTACGAACCATTCAGATAATTATTCGTTATTTGCTTATAACTGTTATTTGATGTTCTTACATATTAATAATAATGAAACGTGTATTATCACTACTTGATTTTTATTGGTAGAAGAAATTACATATCAATATTCGAAGAAAACATGCTTTTCTTACAATTAACTTTTGTCTTATTTACTTAAATTGCGCGATAATATGTATCGTGTGCATCGTTTAATAATTTTAATTATTTTGGAAAACTACAAGTACATATTTTCTATAAACTAAAATTACATCTATGCTTATTTTTTCCATAATTACAAGTAAGATATGTATTATTAAAATTTAGGATCCTTACCAATACTTTTTAGCAAAGTTACTTTTAAATATAATAAAATAGAACTAAATAAGGAAGTAAAACCCTCTAATTCAAAGTTTATAGGTTTTCCTCCTTCTAAGAGGATTCGGACCGGGATTTTATATAAATACAAAGAATTAATGTGCAGATCTCTCTAAATCATCTTCTGCAAATACAAACGCTCTGTTGATCACTCTCTTGCCCTCCAAGCTTTCTCTGCGTCTCTGGTACTTCGTTCTTCCTGTTTCTTTCCGAATCAAAAAATGGATCCTCGAAGACTGAATCTTAAACTGAAGGCAACTTATTTCACCCCGGAATCTCAAGCGCAAACTCTACGCGTTCACTTCCGGCTAACCAACGTACTGGAGACATTGATAAACCGCATGCATGGCGCCTACAACTTGCAGGACACGCGCATGTTGTCCCCGACCACGATTTTCAACTTCGATCTGCCGTATTTTGACCGTCTCTCGCCACTCTCAGCCCACTGGTACATTCTTTCCATCCTCTCCGGTCATAGGATCGACCAACAATTCTGCAACCATATAGCGACAGAAATCTTGTCTATGGCCAAAGAGATTTTCTCCATTGTGGGTGGCCTTGGAGTCTTCATTGTGGCTGAAGCCAAGACGGTCTCAACTCGCGTCATCCATGAATTTGATGAGATATTGGCAAGGATTGATAATATGGTGCTGAATCAATGGAGTGAGTATAATGATGGCGGCGCTTCGGCGTCGTTTCTGTTCAGGCTGAGAGAAGAGAGAAGACTGGATGGTGAGGCTACCAATGATCGTGAACTGGGTGATTGTACCGTCTGTCTCGACCAGCTATCGGGCGCTAAGGAGCTAATTGACATGCCGTGTCACCATGTCTTTCACGAAGCTTGCATTTTGCGTTGGTTGGAGACCAAGAACTCATGTCCCCTGTGCCGGCAAGTGCCTGATACAGAACTCTTGCCAGGATCTCCGCCGGCAATTGCCTGATTTCTGCCGTGCAATTTTCTTGTTTCTTGCTTGTAATTTTATTAGTTTGCCGAGTTTTAATAGTCTTTTTGCTTATTTCAGGCTTGTAAAAACTAATGAAAATAGGTAATATATATATATATATTTAATTAATTTGTAAGTTTTATATGGATAATGAGTTCTTACTTTCAGTATATGCCCTGGCCATCTTTTCTCAGTTAGAAATTCATGTCTATTTAATCATATGTGGAACAATATACATTACTGGGTTTTCATGTTTTGATATTTCGCTCCTTCAAGTTTGCTTCTGGTTACTGGGTACTCTTGTTTGGTATTGAACATTTTTGTTCTGCGCCGGAATTGATTATCCGGATTATAAAAAAAAAAAAAAAACATTTTAAATTAAAAACAAGAATGATCCGGCCCGAGGCCATAACCCGAAACGCAGCGTTTTATAGTGCGAGAGATGCCCGTCCGTCAGCAAGCGAGGGTCGAGTTTTCCTACAGCGGGCACAATTGAGCATCGAGGGCGTTACTGCGCGTTGGCGATGTCTATCGAAGCAGCAAATTTACCAGACAGAGTAGATGAGGTTTCCCTTTTACGATCTCAAGTGGAGTCTCTACAGGATAGAGTCAAAGTAGTCTCTTCCTTCATTTCCTCTGCTTTCTCTTTCTTTTCTCCCCTTTTTCCTTCCACTTTCTCTTCACCGGGCTGCTTAATATGCTAGAATTTGGCTCTTCCATAATACGAAAATGACTCAAACAAGAGTCTTTTGCTATAAAGGGAGAGAGAACTCGTTAATCATGAATCAGTAGAAGAAGTATTTGTATAAACGTGACCCGATCAATTGGTTTGATGTTTTCTTTTTTGAATTTTGATTTGACTGGAAAATACGACCGGGCTCTATCCATTTAGATAGTGTAATGTGGACTGAGTTAAATTCTGGTGCAAAATTTTATATTTTATGTTGTTTACATGGCTATTTTTACTGGATAAACCAGGAGCTAGAGGCTGAAAATGCAGAGTTATTGTCTCGGATATCCAGCTGTGGCTGTCATAAGGTTTGCTTTAAAAAGAAAACTATGGAAGATGTTATTAGGTTGTGAGTCTAAGCTTTGTTCGTCTTTTTTAACTTACCGTGTGATTTTCATGCAGATGGAGAAGAAACCTAAGAATCCGGCCGTGAAAAGCAAGAAAGTAAGAGCCGGTAATGATAGTAAGAAAATAGAGAAGAAAGTGACTAAGATAATACCAGGTCTCTGTTGCTTATTTATTGTTATTGAGAAGTATGCTTTCAGCTTTTCAATGTTGGATGTCAGTTCTCGAATTTTCAATCCATTGAGAAATGTCTATTGGTGTGAAGAAATTTAAATAGAAGGAAAATAAAACTTAGAACTCAGAGAGATACACATACAAGACGTAAATTGATGTTAAGATGCCGGGCTGTCCAAAGAATTTGAAGCACCTTGAGCTTGAAATCTTATGGCTTTTTCTTTTCTTCCAACTTCCTGGCGCATATGAAATGAGTTGCTTCTTCTGATGGAGCAACTGCAATTTACATTTACATGGACTGATACTATGTTATCAGTCAGCTACCAACTTGATGTATTTTTTTTTTCTTAATTTAGCTTCTGATTGTGAGAAGTATTTATTGATTGAACTGGGCTTTTAGCTATATTTTATTAAATTCACTCTCTAACTTTTGATACAGGTTATAATATGGGAACCCCGCAGAAATATTTCAAGAGATATGTTGCTCTAAAAGTCATGTACTTCGGTAGGAGGTAGATGCCATGGGCTAATTTTCCATTCCTTCACTGATTGCATACTTTCTCTCATTTAAAAAAATAGTACCTCTTCCATTCTGTCAGTAGTCCTCTCTCCCTCTCCCCAACCCCCAAAGAAAATCCAGAAGAAATAAAAGAAATTGGAAATTAGCTGTTAAACACACATTGTGAGAGAACAAAATAGATGGCACCATTGAACTCCAAGAAACAGCTAAAATTTGATCCCTGTTGTTTGCAAAGTTCTTATCATTTTGTTTGGGCCCCCTCTTGCCTTGTTTATATACATTCTACCTTTTCCGTTTCAAAAAGAAAAAATCATGATCCCAGCTAGATGGTCAACTAAGTAAATCTTTTTTTGAATTTGCACCAACTAAAGCTAAATACTTCCTTCCTTGATGGAACTAAAAGGAAAACAAAATCACTTATCCTGGACCAATATATCCTTGTTTTCTAACATAAAGAAAATTATCACTTTGCAGTGGTTGCCTTCAATTTACACTGGTAATAACGAAATGACGAGGAGGTCCTGAAAATCTTCTTCATCTCAGATAGGATTACCTTTGAACAAACTATTGGTTAATATGTTCTTCGTGAGCTCCTCGTTTCAAATTCCTCTGATGAATATGCTAGAATTGTTTTAAAGTAGATTTGAGATTGCACATGATTGCTTCGAACACTATTATATGATTGAGTTTATAGGAAAACTTGATAAGCCATTTAATATTTTGTTGTTGTAGCAGTAATGGAAAATTATCAGTTTATTTATTTATATAGATTACAGGGCCGTTACATATTTATATAGATTCGGAGAACTAACCAAGCTTTTTCTAACTCCTATTAGGTTTTTTAATCATAAAGCCTATGGGCTTTTTATGCACCACCAGTAATTGATCCATTATTTAAAATTCCTCTGATGAATATGATAGATTACAGGGCCGTTACATATTTATATAGATTACAGGGCCGTTACATATTTATATAGATTCGGAGAACTAACCAAGCTTTTTCTAACTCCTATTAGGTTTTTTAATCATAAAGCCTATGGGCTTTTTATGCACCACCAGTAATTGATCCATTATTTAAAATTCCTCTGATGAATATGATAGAATTTTCATAGCAGATTTGAGATTGCACATGATTGCTTCGAACACTATTATATGATTGAGTTCATAGGAAAACTTGATAAGCCATCTAATATTTTGTTCTTGTAGCAGTAATGAACAATTATCAGTTTATTTATTTATATGGATTACAGGGCCGTTACATATCTATATAGATTCGGAGAACTAACCAAGCTTTTTCTGACTCCTATTAGGTTTTTTAATCATAAAGCCTATGGGCTTTTTATGCACTACCAGTAATTGATCCATTATTTGAAATTCCTCTGATGAATATGATAGAATTTTCATAGCAGATTTTAGATTGCACATGATTGCTTCGAACACTATTATATGACTGAGTTCATAGGAAAACTTGATAAGCCATCTAATGTATGTTCTCTCAACAGTAATGAACACTTATCACTTTATATATTTATATAGATTTACAGGGCGATTACGTATCTATATAGATTAGGAGAACTAACCAGCAATGTATTTAAAATTAGAGTACCAGCTAACTAAGTTAAATCCATTCTTTATGGCTATTGAGTATCTCTTGATAAGCCCAATTTATTTTAGCCCAATTCAATTAAATTTAAAACCCAGATTAACTAATAATTGAAGTCTGCATAAAGAGAATTCCAAGGTATGGATTTTCACTTGCAAAGACATGAAAAGAGTCAAGTGTTGTATGTGCATATAGTTATTTATCGTTTGCTACAAGGACCTTGTAGTTTGAATTAGTACCTTTAACTCTGCTGGTATGGCATCTTTTGGTGTCTAAAGCTAGCTGGTTAGGTGATTATGGCTTGGCATTACTTGGATGTCCTTTCCTTTTTCTCCTCAAGTTTCTACTATGTAACTCCTGATTCTGTTACTTATTCATCAACTTTTTGCCTCTATAGCTTACTGGACTATAGAAAATGATAATTTTCTTAAATTGTGGTGGAAGGGTAAAACTTTAGCTAATTTCTTATATTACAGGTTTTATGGTTTTGCTTCAGAGGCTCAAATGGATCCAACTGTTGAGGTATGTTACTTCAAACCCTTCTTCCAAGATTGTCTTTTATTGGAAACATACATGAAATTGTAGCACATCAAAATTAACTATGTAGCTACGGATGTCCACTTCACGGGAATATTGTTGATCTACTTTTTAATCGAACAATAGGAAGCACCTGGTACCTAAGTAGTTTACTTTGTTGCTTCCGCTGAAATAAATTTATTTATTGTCAACCAATGAGTATGCACATAGGTAACTGCCACCATGGATTGATTATAAGGATTAGGGAACCACATTTTCTTTTTCACAAGAAGTATAGGGAACCACTTTTGTTTTTGTGGTGTTAAACATGTATTTTAGCTAAAAATTGGTTATACTATACTGCAATCTTTTCACCTCCTTATATATATATATATATATATATCTATGTATACAGAAAAAGACAACAACGATATGTTTTTGTTGCTGTGCTATTACTTTTCTCTGTTTGGTCCATGATCAAGATATGGCCTGATACCAATTTGCAGAAGTCCTTAAAGATGCTCGTCTTAAGAAAAATTTAATTACAGAATTTACTCATGAATGATGAGTTAGCTTTTGATATTACTTCATATAATTAGTTTCACCATATGAATCAGATCCTGCCCATAACTTTAGTGCTTCTGCAGTCTGAAATTTTCAAAGCTTTGGTGAAGACAAGGCTTTTAGTTGGTGACAAGAAGGAATCTCAGTACTCAAGATGTGGTAGAACCGATAAGGGGGTTTCATCTGTTGGGCAGGTAAGTTGTATCCACCAAGAACTTGCCGTCAAATGGATATTGCTAATGGTTTGTGGGATAGAAAATGTTTATAATTCTAAGGAAATTTATACTTCATAGAATTGCTTTAGCAAAACATTTTCTACAGTAATGTTTGTCCCACAATGAGCATTATGTCAACAAGTGAGCTGTTACTAATATCAAAATGTTTGTTTGGTGACAACCTGTATGGAATACCATAAACTAAGAAATATCAACATATCCACTATTTTGCAAAATAATATGGAGGTGCTTGGGCATTGTGCATGTGGAACCGTTGCTGGCTCCGAATTCCTCTGTATTTCATTCTGTATCTTCCAAATGAACCTTGTGTTTTCTTGAAACAAACTTTAACTGTACATGACATGGTTTTCCATCTATGTGATACTCTGCAGATTCTAAATGCATTCATGCTTATTTATTGCCCTACGTCTGTATCCTAGAAATGAAAATATGCTTTGGCTGTTTCTATGAAAATTTCGATATCACCCATAGGAACATATCAGTGCTTCTTTACGCTGTAGTCCCTACATGCCCTTTTTAAGTGGTTTGTCTTTTAATAGTTTCCTGTCTTTTAATTCTTTTTCGAACTTAGCAAAGATTGAATGTAAAGACAAAATGATATATGTGGTAGAAATCAAAAGTTTAAAACAACATTCAGTTATCGTATGCTTTGTGCTATTCAAAGTGGCAAGATCAAAATTGGAGGGAGTGATGGGTTTTTTCCAGTCTATATAATCAATTGGATGTCAAGTAAATAAGAAGCATTTATTTTCACATATTTGAGTGTCAAGAACATGTTAAATTGTTCCTACAGGTGATTGCTTTGTTTCTTC